CAAGGACACACACTCCTTGGGCAGGGGGCAGCGAGGAGCCTTCCGCCTTGCACTTTGTGGCAAAACCAACTAAGTTTTAACTGTCTGGTCATTTTCAGGGAGTAATGGTTTATTCTGTTAATTTCCAGCAAAAATAAAAAGTGGTTGGTGTATAGACCTGGAAAACACTTTGCCTATGTGGCCCTGTGTCTCCCTTTTGTGCAACACCTCCCTGACCTAGCTCCTGCTCCCTTTGCCACTGTATCTTCACACAGACGCCAGTGCCCAGCATACTGAGGGCACTCAGCAGACACCTGCTGCCCATGGGGATGAGTCCAGTCAGATAAACAACCCCGGAGCAAGCAGCTGAGAGCCCTTCCTGTGCGCCTGGCTTCCCACAGAGTTTTAACAACAATGCTTTCCAATTCTCAACTGTTCTCTTTCTAACAGCAAAGAAGCACAGCTGGAGCACGGTGGGCTCCATCAGGATCAGGAAGCCAGTATTCCAGGCTCACCCTGAAAGTGAAAGGAGCACATAGGGACAGTGTGACTCAGTGAGACCCACTCTGGCTTCCCATGGACCCCAGCAGGACTACGGAAAAGTCACCAAACACTTCTGGGCCAGAGCATTTCTCCTTCCCACCCGTTCCTCCTCCCCCTTGGTTTAATCTCCGAAACAGGGATGAGGGGAATATCCACTTCCTTATGCTGCTGAGCTAAATTTTATATGCACGCCTGTCTACACGTATAACACACACACACACACACACACACACACACACACACACACACAGTATAAATATTATATCCACGCGCGTCTCTACACATACAACACACACACACACACACACACACACACACACACACACACAGGATCGATCATGCTTCTCAGCACATAAAATTTGCTCAGTAAACAACAGCAAGTTCTTACACCCTGAGGAATCCACCAAAGCCCCTATAAAGGACAATGATTTCAGGGATAAAGGACTTACTTCTTACAGCGACCAAAAAGGAACTAAGTGATCAATGCTTGAGCGAGAGGGCAGGATGGACATTAAACACAGACTGAGCAACGCGGGCTCTGTTCTCCTATGGAAATGTGGCTCAAAGACGAGCACTTCATGAGTCTCACTGCCACTGTGCTCTCCCAGCCTGTCACCGCCCCTCCCTGGACAGGGGCAAGAGTCTCCTTGTCAGTGTCCTTTCTTCTGCTCTGGTCTTCTGTTTTCTGGCATCCACAAAGCAGAGTAACTGTTTAAAAGAACAAGCCAGATCCAAACCAGCACTTTAGTGCCGTGCCATCACACTGAAAGTCAAATGCCAAATATTTTCATGACTCCCAAATCTTAAAATAGTTAGGTGCCTGGCTTTCTCCTTGATATCGTCTCAAAAATATGCATTTGTGTGCTCTGGCTACACTGGATGTCTTACTCTTGGGAACCACAAGCGTGCTTCAATCACAGGGCCTTTGCACCCATGGCTTGTTCAACCTGAAGTACTCTCAGTTCCACAATTATCTACCTGGCTCACACCTTTATTTTGCTCAGGTCTCTGTTCAAATGCAAGCCCTTCAGAGAGGCCTTCTCCAATCCCTGAATCTAAAGTTGCTCCTACTCTTGATTTCATCAGCCACAGTACAGTTTTATATGTATTTCATATATTCATCCATCTATATGGTTTGATATCTATTCTCCTAGCAAGCAAGTTCCTTTTTAGAAGGCCTCTCCTGACTCATTTGAATGCTGTGACCTCAGGGCTACTGTTCAGGCTCAGTAGATATTAATAGACTCAAGAGAATATCTAGCCTCCCATCAAAATGGGCACTTTCTTTTTCTCTCTTATCATACAAGACCCACTGTCTACGACACCACTCACGATCACAACCTGGAAATGTACAAATAAATTACAAAGTTAGGGAGACCTCTAGTCTATGAAGAAGGGAAAATACTTTTCCCTCTTTTGTAATCTCTTTCCGAGTCCAACTCATCATAGGTGCCTCATGTTATGGAACAAGAGGCTTTTCAAGTGTATAAGATCTATGCAATTGGTGGTGTTCTTTCCTTTTGTTGAAAGTTTCCAGTGATGTCCTTGGAAAGTGTGCCAAACAAAATAAAAGCAAGGTAACTGATACCGTGATTGAAACCACTGAGTAAGAAATCCATGGCCTTGTCAAGCCAGTCTCATGGAGCACAGATGTTCCTGTGAGAAACATGTTTTCCATGTCGCTAGCAAAAGCAGAATGGACATTTTGATATCTTTTCCAAAAGGTTTCAGTAAAAATTGTCCCATTGCCTTGGGGAACCTAAAGAAAAATCCTGCAGTATTGCTGCTCCGTCCTGTAATGATGCCCATCTCATCCTCTTTGTCCCAAGCCACATACAACACTGTGCCTGGCCATCTCTCTGCCCCTGGCAGCACTGTCACAAGAACACATCTTTATAAAAATTTCAGTTGTAAAATCCTTCAAGCCCTGCAAACTGAATTTAAGCATCTTGCTGACTTCCTTCGGTAATTAAAAGCAGAACATTTACCTCTGGTCAAATCCAAATGTCTAGTAGACACCAACATGCAATAGACCTACCCTTTGAAGTACTGTTTTGCATAGGAAGATAAGAATCCTGACAGTTGTGCTGAGTAGAATGCTGGGTTTTTCTAGCATGTAGGGAAGGATGCCCTAAAATGGTGGTCCCCAACCTTTTGGGCATCAGGGACTGGATCCATGGCAGACAATTTTTCAGTGGATGGAGAGGAGTTGGTACAGGGATGATTCCAAGGAGCGTACGACCTCTATCCCCACCACACACAGTTCATAGTAGGGTTTGTTCTCCTGTGAGACCTGAATGCTGCTGATCTGACAGGAGGTGGAGCTCAGGCAGTAACAGAAGCAAAAGGGAGCAGGAGTAAACACAGACAAAGCATTGTCCTCTGTCTGCTCATCTTCTGCTCTGTGACCTTGTCCCTAACAGGCTCTGGACCTAAACCAGTCCACGGCTCCAGGGCTGGGAACCCCTGCTCTAGGAATTACTGATTTCGTCACCGTTCTGATTTCTTCCTTTGACTCTATGAGGACAGTGTGCTGGCTGCAAATAGATAATCTGACATTTGATCGATGTGGGTCTTCTTTTACATGCTTAATTCAAAATTCAAAGTTAAAATGAAGCCTTATGAAGCATACAGCATATTAGCAATATGGGCATCAAAGGAATAGGGGTATCTCTCTCAATTGGAAATGTGGTCAATAGCAATTCATTAAGAATTTACTGAGCAGGCATTCTAAATTGGATGAGGTAGGTGGAAATACTCCTCATGCTTGAGCAAACTTTCATGATCCCTTGCGTCTTTGTGGAATAGTGTGTGTGGAGCACTCGGTCATGTACATGGCAGGTTGTGCTAACTCACAGGATGAAATCAATATATATCTTTTATGTTGTAACTTTTCAACATTTGATCTATGATGTCTAGACACAGCCTAAGACACACTGGAACATGCACAGGGCTTAACAGAGAAGGTAGAAGACTCTGGAACATGAACATTCACAAATGGTACCTATTCATTTCATAAACCAACACTCCTTGTTCCCATCCCAAGAATCTCCTTTTGCGTTGCATGTTCGATTATTGTAAGGTTCTGAAGACACTGGGCTGTTCTCGTATCCCAGAGATATTCCCCAGCCACTCCAAGCAATGAAATTAACAATTGATTTTCTGCTCTTAGGTATTAGTGGAGTGTTAAGAATGTTACCACTTCTCACTAGGAGAAGGAAAGATATTTGAGGCTGAGGATTATGGAGCAGGGATAGTAGGGTCATTATTAAGAAACAAGCAGCGGCTTTAAAAAAATAAGCATGCATATCTCTTGAGATCCCAAGGCAAGACTTTTCAACCATTAAAAATACTAAGACTGTCTAAATGAAACAGATGTAGTGTCTTAGGGGTCAGCAGGCTGCCTTGAGGGTTGGAGAAGGAATAGGTTCCTTAGTTCGGTCCCTTCTTTCATTCGTTCTCACCAAAGACTCTAATAGGGAATGAAGCATTAACAAATAAGTCCAGATGAGTGTCTGTCTGTAAGGTTGGGTTTAATGTATGCTTTTCAAGGCCATGGTACACTCAACTGTGTATGGACAATCTGCTATGTCTTCCCTCATTGGCCAAAAGCAACACACTGGCAAGCTTTCCTAGTAAATATTTGGGTTATAATTTAGGCCTTGAAACAAAACAAAGAAAAAGGAAAAGAAAACAAAAAAGAAATCTGTTATTACTTTAGGCACTCACCTATTCTGGTATTTAGTCAAGTAATTCCATGCTACTGAAGGCTCAAATTTAATCAGTCTGAACCACATCACAGCAAAAAGGCATTCTTTTAGTGGACATACCATTCAACTTTGCAGTTTCCATTTGCCAATGTCCTGATTTCAAAACCAAAAGAAATGTTGTCTCTCTAAGTCCTGCTACTTGAGATATGTTTTAAAGGAAAGGAAATGGAGGATCTTCAGCTAATAGAATGAAGATCCCCTTTTTATAAGACAGAGATAATTATATTTCCTTAGGCCTCGGGCTTATAAATGCAGTCTTTTAGGTCCTACAATATTCTATAAAGATCCCCAATAATTCAAATTTCAATCTCTGTGAATCCAGATAAAATACATCAAAAACACGGAAATCACACATCTATGTCCCTAACCTACCCTGATCAGTATTTTATCACAAGAATACTAATTATTCTGGGAGATTTTATTGTGGATTCACTCAACATGGTCTTATTGTTATGGACCGTGAGTTATCAAAATCAAGAACAAAAACATCAAAGTTAGCAAAATGCTTTGTTTTATAGGTCAGCTCCTAAAGGATCCAGCTATACTTTAAGGGTATAGAGTCTCTCCCTCCCTCTCTCTCTCTCTATCTCTCTCTCTCTCTCTAAACTAAACCCTCTAGAGTGACCAACTGCAGCATGTGAGGAGGGAAAAAAAAAAAAGGATATTGAGACTTGGGTGGATGCATCAAGAAGTAGCAATGTTTGTTACCTGCAGAGGTGTTACAAGAAATTTCATCTGCTGCAACGAAGACGAACTGATTTCTGGAAGAGAAGATAAAATTCACAATACTGCTTGCTCAGGGGGAAATGTGCTCTCTGCCAACTGGTTGGATGTGTACAGATGAGGGGAGGGAAGGGTGCTGCATTTGAATGGAGGTTGCAAGGAAATGTGCTGATGTACCTCGGACTCGGAGAGTTTAGAAAGATCAGGAAACAGGCATGCAGGGCCTCTTACACAAAATCATGAGCATGTCAGAATATGGACCATGTACAAGCTGGTGCATCAAATTATTAATACTACGTGTTACCAAAATATCATGCCAGGATATGATGCTAATGCCAGAGCATTTCAAACTGTGCTTATGTGGATTTTTTTATGCTAAAAGATTACAATTAAAAAATATGGACTATTAGGAAAAATAGGTATACTAGAGCTAAGTATGATTATTATCCAATTCCAGACTTCATTATTACAGTATATCATCCAAATTTCTTTTAAAAAGAGAAAAATATGCCATCATTCCAGAAAGGAATATTATATGGTGTGAGCTTATGGATAATAATTTCCTCCTCCCCAAACTAGGCTTGCTATGAAAATAGTGAGACAACTCATCTGTTGAAATAAACTCTGTCTTGCTATGTTATTTTTATTGGTGCAATACCGGAAAGAAAATATATATGAAGAAAATACTATTTTACTTTGATTTAGTAAATCCAGAAAGATGCTAAAACTCTCTTAAGATGTTTCCAAAAGGTACAGTGTTGTAATTCCGAAGTACTGTTTATTTCCCTAGGAATAAGAATATTTTATCATTTTATCCTAGGCAGATTATAATGGCCCAGTGAGATGATTAGGGTCTTAAATGCTTCAGAATCATCAGCAGAGAGGCACCGGGCTCTCCTTTGTTACATTTTACTGGGCATATGGATGAAAAGACAAAATAAACGCTTATATTTTTGTTTGTTTTAGCAGGATTGGTTTGGTTCAAATGTTCCCAAAAGTCTCTAATGACTGAGCATTTATTAAAACATCTTAAGAAAATTTTACTGTCGCAATAGATACACCCAGGAATATAAATATAAATATAAAGGTAGCTATTTAAAAATTTCCTTGAATTTAACATTCAATTGAAAATTCTAGTGTTTCTACACCAATAAAATCTAAAAAAAAAAAATAATAATACATGCTCTAACAATAGTATTTCCTCCATATAACAAAAGTGAAAACTAAGTTCACTTTTATCACCACTTTTAAAACAAAGTTAATTTCATTGGATTTTTGCTTTTTGATCTGACATAGACTTTTTGAATCTAAGAATATCTAGTTTCATATTCCCTAGGTTTGAGGAGCAATAAAATTATTATCCCTGAAAAGGAAAGAGATACTTGGATTAAATATTTATTTTGACTTACCCATCTTTGACTTACTTAAGGGGCAGTAAAACACAGGCCTGCCTAACACATGCCCAGCAAGTACTCAGGGGGGAGCTTCTGTTTACAGAATACTAGCAAGAACACTGCTGTAACCAGACTGGGCAACTGGGTTTATGCAAAGTAGCAGGTTTTTCAGGCAGGCTTTCACGTACTGGGGGAGGTGGTGCTAGTTGAGCAGCTCTATCCAAATTCTACTCCCCTATTCTAGAACAGACTCTGGTTAGGGCTCTGACTGTAGGATCCCTGGAGAACTGAGCAGGTGCAGGGCAGAACAAAGCCACTTCTAGGTAATTGAGGCTGATGTAAAATAATTATTGAGTGAAACCTCAGTACCGCAACCTAAATAGTTACGGAGTGAAACCTCAATTTAAAAGCCCTAACCAGAGCCTGTTCTAGAATAAGGGAGTAGAATTTGTTATAAAGAGATGAGACTGCTCTTTCTTCTAGATTTTAAAAACATGCTAGTATGCTTTATAGTAGCTTTCTTGACATTACATGCTTAATTTTAAAAAGCGCTACATTTCCCCCTCTATTTTTTCCTTCCTTCCTTCCTTCCTTTCCTTCTCCCCTCTCTCCCTCTGTCCCTGTCTCTTCCCCTCCCCTTTTGGAAATCTATGGATTTTGATTTTTTTCTTCATGTTGTCTTTATTTTATTAAAACAGGGTCTCACTATGCTGCCCAGGCTGTCTGGCCTTGAATTCTTGGGCTCAAGCAATCCTTCTATCTCGGCAAGTAATTAGGACTATCCCAAAGTGTTTTCATGATCCTGAATAAGTTTTTGAACAAAGTAGATTATTTCCTTTTTCATAATTCACTCTCTTCATATGAATCGGCTTATACGACTTCTAACCACAAAGTCAAATCTATCTCAAAGCATTAGCACCACCAGTAATACTTAAAGCATCATGCTCTACTAAAATGAGTTGCAATTTCTCTTTTACAAAAATGTGTTCTGCACTATTTTTACCACCCACATGAATCTATTACATTCCAGGAAGGTCACTGTATAGTGTCAGAAAAGTGAATTTCAGTGGCGTCCACTCATCCCATGAGGGCAGTCTGTGAGACCACCCCATCTTCTAACCTAGGCTTCATCAATTGATCGTAGCAAATGTGTGTGATAGGAAACATCTGCCAAAGAGGAGCCTGGACAGGAGTGGCCCACATGATGGGCCAAAGGGCATTCTGGTGTGAGAAGGGGCAGGCTTCATGCTGCTATCTACACACGTGTATATCTATGTAGATACCATGGATGTACTTCATGTAGACCCCAGCTGAAGCCTGCCCTGGCTGCCATGATATTTGCTCCTGTTCCCTCCATTCATACCTTTGAGACAAATGTTCTATTCATGTTGGCCCTAAGTGGCTTATCTATGATCCCCTCCATGAAACCATTTATCCCGAGTGACCAGAAAGATATGATTAAAGCCTAATGGTGTAACTGAGAAGTCTGTTACCTGCAAACAAGTTAAGCTGTGGTCAAATGACCACAACAAGGCAGATGATGGACTCTGGCTTCGGGGCTACCTCTCAGGAAGACGAAGGAGGCTGGTACCAACGTGTGTCTCTTTACCCTGACTCTAACTTCTCTTCTTTCTCAATACAGACCCTAGCGTGTGGACTTCTGAATGCACCTGATTTCGAGCAAACTGGGTGTGGGATGAGATGGTCTAGCTGAATAGTTCTCAGCCTTGGTTGCACCTTGTGAGGACCTGGAGCACTTCTAAAATTTCTGGCAGCCAGGGGCATCCGATTGAATGGGGATCTCTATCAATGGATCTCGGACTTTGGTATTTTCCATCTACTTCCCAAGAATCCTCAAGTGCAGCTGAGATTGAGAACTACTTTTCCAGGTGAGTGGTTTTCACTTTGTTGCCCACCTTCCACTTGCAGAGAGAGAGAATGAACAAGTGCTAATCATGAGGTCCCTTCTTTCGTGGTTTCCAGGTTGACTGCTTTGGGGTAAGGTCTGAATGATGATCTGAAGAATGTTTGCAAACCCAAGAGGCAGTGGAACAAATGCAGCTTGGACTGAATGGTTGAATTTCTTGTCATTTTGCAGTGTAGGCTGCAGAGGATGCAACCACAGAAGCAAAAATGCTTCATCCAGGAAAGGTTTCTACATTTTCCAAGAGAGCTGGCTTTAAATCTCATTTGGGCAGGGAAGCTGGCATATAGTCTCTGTTAAGTCCCATTCCTCATATTTGATTCTTCACCCTTTCCTCCTATTCTAATGTCCCCCACGGATTTACACAAAGTCCTCCTTGCTGGGCTTCTTTGCTCCTGTATTTGTATAAACGCTATCAAATTATTTCACCAAGAATTCCTTTCTATGTTCTTTCTACTCTGGAATTTCTTGACATCCTTGAAGATAAGAATTACCTATGGTGCTTTAAAATATTAATCTCCCGAATTTGGACTCTAAACACCTGAATCAATATCCATGAGCAAGGTTTGTGAAATTACACATTTAACAAGACCCCAAGCCTTATTACTGACTGGCTCGATAGGACCTCATTGTGCTCAAGGTAGCACTGCCTCTGTGAAGGACTAATAACGCAGATTATGTTCCACCTTGGAGAAGTCTGGGAATCTACAGATTTATTTCCTTTTTAATTTCAAAGCCCACCTTGTCCAGGAAGATTATTTGAATATAGGAATTCTACACAGGAGAAGGGATCATTACTAATTTCATAACAACAACGAAACCATAAGTCACTGTGCCCAAAAGGGAAGAGGGTATTTGTCTTGACTCTTGGGATTAGTCATTCCAAAGGCTATTCCCTAACATTCATCAAGTAGTGATCCATGGCAAGAAGTTGCTCAGTATCATACTGTTGTATTAGTTTACCTAATTTTCCTTAAAACCTTGCTCACCTCACCCACCTTGGAAACTAGTCATATTGTGTAAGCAAGATGTTCCATGGTGGAAGTGAAACATGAACTCCATTATCCTTGCTCAAGACCTTAGGTCTTACTCATCCTTGGAGGTTCAACTCAAAGGCACTCACAGAGGCGATATTCTGAGGTAAGAGGTCTCCATGGAAGAGCTTCTTAAGAAGTTTTTCTAAGGCAAAGCAATGGAATAGTTGGATTTCTCTTTGAAGATGATATAATTGAGGCTTGAAAAATTATCATAAACATATCCTGTTGAACAATGAGTGGAGATGAAGAAATGGCACATGGAATATAGTCACTCTCTCTTTTGATTTGTATATTCCCAGACTTGCTTATATTTCAAGATGGTTTTCATGGATGAACCATCTAGACTCCAGATCTGACTCAGCTCGTGGCATATTTAAATTAGCCCCATGGATCTCCATATATTATATTTATTTCTCATTTTTTTCCTTAGGCTAAATCTCATTTCTATAATTTCCTTTCTTCTAAAAATCACACAGAGCTGAACTTCTAAGAGTCAAGTTAAAACAGGAGCAGACCATCATCACTGGAGGGGATGTGAGAAGCCACGTATAAAGCCAAAGAGAGAACTTTCAGCATCAAGCAGGTGGGAGGCCAAACAGTACATTTTCTCCATCAAATAACACTGCTTATAAATTTTATTATAAAAAAATGGGGGCTTTCTTTATTCTTTGATCTCTGAGTTCTTTTGTATCACTATTGTTATATGACTCAAGTTTGATATCCTTCATAACAAGATGCCTTGTATCAAATGCTATGAATATTGAATCTAACCCACACTGATGAACCTTCTGAGGACCTTTAGCCAAGAATCCCTGAAAGGTCATTCTTGTGGCCCGACAGATGGCAACCAGAATGCCTCAAGAGAGAAGGGAGACAAAGTGAAAGTCTTCTCTATAGGCTCTGCAGGTATCTATTAGCTATGAGGCCAGATGTTCCCAACCCTGACTGGCCATTAGGATTTGTTTTAACAGGGGAAAGCATGAACCCAGTCCCCCACTACCTCAAATTATGCAGTCGAGTTTCCCACATTTGGGGAAATTGCAGGGCTCACTGAGCACATCCGGAGAACAATGGATGAACCTCGCCCTGGGAAAGCCACCTTCGTGATCATGGACCTCGCCTGCCAGGTAAACACAGGATTATGTTTTTTAACAAAACAATTTATCTGGGATTTTAAAAGCTAAAATACCAATATCCAGGTCTGTTTCCCAATCTTCGAGTGAGAATCTTGGACATGCTTCCCATTTCAGGTATGCCTGAGAAAACCTTTTGGATGATTCTAATCTCTAGCCAGCACCTTCTCAAATCACGACTTCTTCTCCTGTTTCCACTAAAAACAGAAAGCTGTGCTTTCTCGATTAAATATAAAATCACACTGTGTTGTGTTGATGTCAATATTTTATAATTAGTATCATTGTTGATAATTATGATAATAATGATATATTCTGAAGTGACATATATTATTTGATATATTATTCATTATTATTCATTTTTAAACTATCTGACCAAAATGCTTCCTTTTACACATATGACCATTAAAGTAGAAATTCACAACAAATGGGTTTTGTTGTTCATCTTACAAAGTTGCTGAAAGGGCCACATGGAATCTAGCCATTATTATTCTCTGTATATTAAACACACAGAAATAGGGTGCTCTAAGATTTTTATGTTAGGTTTTATCAAATAGTTCTCACCTTATCTATTCAACCTTCAGTGGGTCATCAAGAGGTGCTGAGCTTTGCCTATAGGGTGGGATGCTGTGCCAATCACCACAGATAATGATATCAAGCTTGCCTGTCTGAAGATCATAATCTAATTTATATTTCAGTTTCATCATCTAGAAAGGGAGGTTTACCTCCTTGTGATCAGTAGCTAAGCTTCCTTACTATGTCCAGTTCTAAAATTCTCTTCTAACGTGGTACAAATCCCACTCACAGCACATTTTTCTGGCTCTGTTATTCTTATTCATACTTTAGTATATAGTGTATCATACATACTATGAGTGAAAAGTTCTAGAAGCAGACAATCAAATAAACAAAGTATAGATACTTCTAAAAGGACCTATGTGGATCCTTTTTTTAAAAAAGGGGATTCCATTAAAATACAGTTCAAATATTTCATTTAGACCCACGTTCCTTTTGCTAACACTGTTTACATAAAAAGACTTTAACTGGAAAATGAGACAAGGGCCCTGGATTTTTCCCTGGTGTCAATATTCTATCATCAAGCTCTCAGTCTGGGAAATTCAAATTTAAGTTCATCTACATTATTTGGAGACCTTGTCAATATACAGTTGTGTTATTTTAGTTCATTCAACATCGAATATCACTCCAGCTCCGACTTGGCCTCTTTTCTGGCCTCAGGTGAAATGGAACTAGCAGTGAATGTAGAAACCATGCCCTGTAGTAGTGAGCTAGAAAAATAATTTCAACTTTCTCAGCTTCAGTTTCCTCATTTAGAAAACAGGGCTAAAAAACGATATGCCCCTTACAGACATTTTGGTGCAGACGTTATGAGACATGAATGTGAAGTTATTTTATCAGAGAGTAGGCATTAATTTTTTGGGCTGTAGACATTCATAGAATACAGTGTTCTTCTCTCCCCCCACCCAAGGAAGAGGACAGATAACTGATTTTACAAAAATCTAAAGCGATGATTGCTTACAATCTGGGTTTCCACTGGAAAAGCCGAGCATTTCTACCATGAAGCTAGAGTATCCTTGGTACATCCCTGGCAGCTTGAGTTGTTCCATGGACATGGAAAGAGAATACACATCCAAGGAGAAGGAGAAGTGAGAAGGAGGGGCTATTTGATCTCATAGTTCACACTTTCTTTCGTCCAATCCATCTTTATATTTGTAGGCTGAAATTCGATATTTAAAAGCAATAACGAGAAAACAAATTGAGTCAAAAATTATTCTAACCCATCAAAACTGCTTCCATAGGAAACTCACTTATTGCTCTAGAACAAAACAAGATGCTCCCATAGGTTAATGGTGCAGGTAAGAATAACAATAATCTTCTGAGTGCTCAGTGTCAGGCTGTGTCTGAGGGCTTTTGGGCAACGGCTGCAGTGAAACTGCACCACACCCCAGTGAATGAGGTAATGATCACCCATCACCCCCACTTTATAGAGAACACAGCTGAAGACCAAATATTTCCAATAGCTTAATTATCTCATATAGTAAGTCTTGTGAATCAGCCTCTGCTTTAAATATAAACCTGTGATCATAGCCTGTAAATCCATAGCAAAGAACTGCTAGTGGTACATGATCAAATAGTAGATTTAGTGAGTATAAAAGATCCCATTTCAAATCCTGCTGCCGCCACAGTGTGCTGGCCTCAGGAAGACACAGATTCCCAGAATATTATCATTGTGGTGCTTCTTAGAGATTGTCTAGTCTAAAAATGATTTACACTTTCAAATGAATTTAATTGGATTGCTATTGCCTCTCTGTAGCTAACGCTCTAAATAACCTGTCATCAACCTAGGGACTGATAACACTTGGAACACCTCTCTGTGATGTTTACCTTTATCTCTTCTGATTCTAATTGGTACAATGCTCTCCATTTAGCAGATGAGAAAACTGAGGCACAATGATATTAAATCAGAATTGACCTTTGCATCTGATTTTTTATATTAATATAAGTCTATTAGGCAGTCAGTGACAAGGCACTTATGTGGAATCGTTTTCCTACCCATTGATCTTTGGGATAAAGGAAGTGATTAACTGTAGCCATGGGCTGGTTAAAAGAGCTTCCTTTAAAAAAGAATTGATTTTAAGGGACGCCAAAGCACTGACCGCTCATTGAAAAAGGGAGAGGAGAGAGAAGACGGTAACGGATCAGTGGGAACCACTGATTACAGCTATCAGAGGCGTGGTGTGTTACGATAGTCTCAGGCCAGAGCACATCGATTTAAATCATTAAGATAATTAAGGGAATAGGTTGTTTGCCTTTGATTATGTTCACGTCCTTGAAATCTATTAATCTATCAAAACACTCCTCACACATTATAATGCACCAAACTGAGCCTGGAAACAATGACAAAATTGACGAGCTGCTCTTGACGGAAATTCTACCACTCAACCATCACACTGCGATCCCTGCTGAGACCAGTCCCTGTTCTAAATGCTTTGTATGTTAATTAAATATGAAATGCACTATGGTTTGCAGGAGAGTCTAATTTCAGAGGAATCAATCATTGTGATCTACAGTAGGTAGGAAATCATAAGAAACCATTTATTTCTGTCGAATAACTGTTCACTTGTATGGTACTGCCCCATAAATATGAAAATAACGCAGAGGCCCACTGTAAATAGAAATCAGCTCTTGGAAAGAATTTGTGTTCACAGGTAGAGAGTCACAATTGCTTTGATACCCTTAATGGGATAGTAGGCAATTTTAGCAAAAAGTTACATATTATACCAAAAGATAATATCTAGAGTAGGTCACTTAGTGAATCCCTGAAACAAAACAACCTGAAAACAATAACAACAAAGAAAACAAGGCAAAGAAATAAAGCGGTTTCATTTTTATGAGCTAAGATTCTATCTTAGATGTGCTTCCTACTTTGCTGTACTGCTGTTACTCTGAAGCTGTACTGCTGTTACTGTTACTCTGCTTTAATTTGCAGCAGAAATGCTGTGTCCAGAGGCCTTTAAGAGCATATCCGCATCAGAGGTTTCTGACCTACCACTAGAAAGCATCCGGATTTCTCCACCTGCCTCTAAGCCCTTCACAGCTGAAGGGCCTTGATGGCACCACTTAAAAGATAGGCTTTATTTGCTTTTTTGTGGCCTATCAAGTCAATGATCTGCAACCCGAAAGTGTGTAATTAGGCCATGACATGACCCAAGGAGTTGTTACACCTTGTCTTGTCACTGGCAAAAGCGTCTACCCACATGGCTGTGACAGCTATGGTCTATTGGGTTTGGAATATCCCTTAATATCTCCCCAGCTCCTTGTCAGTCCAGTCTGTGGATGATTTTACAGGATGGGCACTTTTTTTTTTAACTGCCTCAATTACATATTCATCCAATCGTGCATAACAGTTGTTAAGAAGCCATTATAGATTATGGACCAAAGGCAATTAGTTCTTGAAACCAAAACTTGAAGACTTTTTCTTTTAATACATGCATGAGTGTATGATATCTGCAAAGACAAAACTGAGAAACTCAGGAAATATATCTTTCAGCAACAGTCATATTGCTTCTCATCCCTTAAGAGTTTGGCGTCCAAAGCCCCAACTTTCAAAAATGACAGGGATGTTACTGTCAAGGGCACTACACCTCCTTCCCTGTATCACTATTTCTGAGCCTTCTCGACTATTACCAAATGAGACCATGCAGACTGCAGGGAGGCCTGGAGAATATATAATTACCTTAGTTCTTATAATTTTTTTTTCTAGAATGCCCAATCAGAACCAGTTTAAAAGGATCGCTGTCACATATCATATTTCTTTTCATTTAAGAAATTTATTTTTGCCTGTTATGTGGGCCCTGTAATAAGAATCTCACAGCAATGCATCACTTTCTAGTTATCCTAAAGCTGCCTAGAACAATTAGTTTCACATTTTCTTCTTGAGGGGGCCTTGAATTACTTCAAAGGCAACTAAATCTGGTAAGAGAGTGAACTTTAAATGAAAAAGAAAAATTAGGAAACACACAACAGCATTTTATATACATATATGTATACATTTTCAACATAGAATTCTAATAAAGAACTGGACACAGTTTTATAGACACTGAGGTACAGGAGGATATAAAATGAAGGCGTCCAGGACTCATTAATGCTACATTCCTATCAAAGAATGACAGAACATCTTGCTGTTTTTTTTTAAATTGCAAAAACAGGAGAGGTAATCAGGATGAATGAAAATAAAAGGAATGATAAACTAAAACATAGAACAACATCAACCAAGAGCTATCATCAGGGACCTAGGAATGACTTCTGCCCATGGCCATGTTGTGACTCAAACGTTTAGAATCTAAATTCACAATAGCTTCTCCTTTCCCCTGGACCCTCATCTGGTTTGGAAGATGCCATGAAAGCCGCTTCTACACGCCTTACACCTCCAGGAATGACACCCTCAGGTGCTGCATATCTGGGAACCATATTCAGCGTCACCAAGTTT